CTGGCTCAGGCTGGTCTTGAACTTGTGAGCTCAAGCAATCTACCAGCCTCACCCTCCCAGAGTGCTAGGATTACAGGCGTGAGCCACCCAGCCCCGCCTCATCATGTGCTTTGGACTTTCATTTTCCTAACAATTTCTATCACAAGGTTCAAGTAGTTCCCCAACGGTGACAGATGGAAATAGAACTGCTCTTTGAGCCAGTCTAAGATTAAAGGAAAATTGTTAGCCAGATAAGCAAATTTCAACTGTAGACAAGCGTATTACTGTGAAACTTGTGACTTACAAACAACTAGAGACCACAGCCTGAGGATTCTCCATGAAGGATTTTCTCTTAACAGTTAGTTGTAGGCCACATAACCTCCCATCCTACTTCCAATATTCCCTCCCTCCCAAAAAAATTTAAGATTGAAGAATCAACCAACAGTGACAAGGCCACGCTACTATAAAGCCTAGAACGCCCTAATTCCAGTTCTTCTATTCAAATTATTTTGCTAATCAAATCCAAGACTTCACAGAAGAAAACAAAAATAATTACTAAGGCTTCAGAGTTGTTACAAGACAAGGAATTGGAAGGGCCTAAAGAACAAAGGACTGAGTCAGCACTCAGCTAATTAGCCGACTTTGTCTTGGGTCACCAAAATGCAGAAGTAAAGCAGCTAATTATCAAGGACCTAGGCCCCCAAATCTGAGCTAGTATTAAGTTAAACCGTTTGAAGAGTTCTTATTCAGAAAGCCACGTAGGATATTAAGTACGCCGCCGACGATGAACCGTGATATGGGCTAATCTAGACAAGTCACAAAGGCCAGGGAGGAAAGGCAGGCAGAATGGAACGGATAAATGGTGCACAGCTCGGTGGCTAGAGCCGCCAGAGCTCTGGAGGGGCACCACGCACCCGGAAGGAACGCAGGGTGCTGACACCTCGAGGCCGGGGAGCGGTGCACAGGGGAGCTCGGAACGCCCCCCTCCCCCAGGGAGCGCTGCGAGGACTTCTCCCTTCCCTCCTCCAGAGTGGGGAAGGCGCCGATCCAGAGGTTTCTCACCGGCCGGAAGGGCGGCGGGAAGCGGGCGGGCGACCGGTGCGGCCAGGGCTGGGCTCAGGGGACACACTCACCCCGGGTCCCTCCCCGACGCGGTAGGTGAGAAGCAGCTGGAAGCGCTCGCCGGCGCGGCAGGGGTGCGGGAACACCACGCACAGGGCCTGACCGTAGTGCGAGAAGGGCCGAGTATGGAACGACACGGGCTCCGCGGGAGGCTCCTCGCCAGGCTGCTCCCGCCGCAGCGCCACCGCGGTCACCTCCAGACACGGGTGCGAGTCGAGCCGCAGCTCGGCGGCGTCCTCGGGCACCAGGCAGCGCAGATCCAGGACCGCGGTGCCGCTCAGTCCCCGGCTCCCGGGGCCCGGCCCCGGCGGTCCGAACTCGACCCGCAGGTCCAGGTGTATGTGCAGCATCTCGAAGGCCCGGAAATTGGAGACCGAGGCCACATCCACCGCCTGCGCCGAGTGCAGCGGCCGCCCGGCCGCGCTGCCGTTGGTCGAGGTCCCGCTGCTCGCCATGGCCAGCAGCGCCGTTGCTCACTCACGGGGACAGCCGCGGGCTACGGCGGCTGCTGCTGGAAGCCCCTCCCCGAGCTCGGCCCCGCCCTCGCCCCGCCCCGTAGCGGACCTAGCTGAAAATCTGGGACCTGGCGGCACCCTCTTACTTGCTCTTGGGAGCCCCACCCTCCTGGGAGGGGGCACCTTACGGCTTTGGGTTAAAGAGGGCGGTGGGATAATTTGGCTCCCATTTGCCCGAATTTATTCTACTGTGATGTTACAGTAGTACCTGTGGGACGCCTTCTCTGCGACTATTTCCTGTTTCATCATCTTTCTAGCAAGGGATCTGAGTTCGAGATCTCACGCTCTGTGCTCGGCGGGTTATTAGGACTGTGTCTGTCACCTTGGGCAAATCGCCCAATGAAGGTGAATCTTTGCCCGCGCCTTTCTGCACCTATGTAATAGAGTCATAACTATCGCATGAGTAATGTGTCTAACGCACTTGGAAAACGGTAAAATCCTATGCAACTTTGCTGAATTCTATACCAGATCAAGGCTCATCCCGCAGCGGCGCGCCTGTCTTTCGGTTCTGGTTGCCCAGGGACCGGGAATCAGCACCACACAATCTAGCTCTCGGCTGTCTTTGGCATGTCACTTTTTTTTTTTTTAAACAGTCTCAAGCTGTCGCCCTGGGTAGAGTACTGTGACATCATGGCTCACAGCAACCTCCAACTCTTGGGCTCAAGCGATCCTCTTGCCTCAGTTTTTCTTTGTTTTGTTTTGTTTTTTCGAGACAGAGCCTCAAGCTGTCCCCCGGGATAGAGTGCCGTAGCGTCACAGCTCACAGAAACCTCCAACTCCTGGGCTCAAGGGAGTCTCCTGCCTCCGCCTCCCAAGCACCTGGGACCACAGACGCCCACCACAACGCCTGGCTATTTTTTGGTTGCAACCATCATTGTTGTTTGGCAGGCCAGGCTGGATTTGAACCTGCCACCTTAGGTGTATGTGGCTGGTGCCTTAGCCACTTGAGCCACAGGCGCTTAGCCATTGCCTCAGCTTTTCTATTTTTAGTAGAGACAGGTCTCTCGATTTAGCTCAGGCTGGTCTTGGCATGTCACTTTTATGTCCATTACTGTAATGTACAGTTACCCAACTAGAAACATCTCTACTGAATACATTGTGTCTCCTCTGTATCAGTGCATTGCAATGGCCTTTCTATGAACAGGATCCAATCAATGATGTTTTTACATCAGTTAGAAAATACTATTTTTTAAAAGGACAACGTAGGGCGGAGCCTGTGGCTCAGAGAGTAAGGCACAGGTCCCATATACCAAGGGGGGCAGGTTTGAACTCGGCTGCAGCCAAACAGCAACAAAAAAATAGCTGGGCATTATGGTGGGCGCCTGTAGTCCCAGCTACTCAGAAGGGAGGCTGAGGCAAGAGAATTGCCTGAGCTCAAGAGCTGGAGGTTGTTGTGAGCTGTAACGCCATGGCACTCTACCGAGGGCGACAAAGAAGACTCTGTCTCTAAAAATAATAAATAAAAATAAATAAAAAATAAAAAGGACAATGTAGAAGGTTTTTCATAAAGTATGCTTCCTAGTTTTAAAGAGTTGAAAGCATTTTATGAAGTGATGTTTATGGTATATAATTCTTTAGGACAGTGCTTGGTACATAATAGACGATCCCTTCCTTGCCTCGCTCTCCTAGCTGCTTCTCCTGTTTCTCTCCCTTTTTTGGCCTCTCTCTTCTTTTCCTTTCCTTTTTTTTTTTTTGAGACATTCTCACTGTGTCGCCCCGGGTAAAGTGCCCTGGCGTCACAGCTCACAGCAACCTCAAACTCCTGGGCTTAAATGATTCTCTTGCCTCAGCCTCCCGAGTAACTGGAACAACAGGTGCCTACCACAAATGCCCAGCGATTTTCTGGTTACGGTTTCCATTGCTGTTTAGCAGGCCCCAGGCCGATCTCAAACCCCCCAGCCTCGGTGTATGTGGCTGGCGCCCTACTCACTGAGCTATGGGCTAATTTCCTTGTCTGTCTCCACACCCTTCCTTGCCTGTGTCCACTAACTTCCTCTCTATTGTAACTTCCTCACCTCCACCTTTTTTCTTGTCTCCCCGCCTGTCCTTGCCTGTTTTTCTCCATTCCATGCCTGTTTCCCTTCCCTTCCTAGACTGTCTTCCTCCCTTCTAACTTTCTTGCCTGTCTCACCTAAACTCCTTACCTTTCTCTCCTGTTCTCGCCAGTCTCACTTTCCTCCTGGCCTTTCTCCACTAATTTTCCCTGCCTGGCTCCCTGTCTTTTTTGCCTTTCTCCCCTTTCATCTTTGCCTCTTTCTTTCTTGTCTACATTGCCTAACATTGCCTATGTCTTCCAACTTTCTGCCTGTCTCCCCAACTTCCTTGCCTGCCCCTATATTGGGTTTCAAGGCCTGCACCGGGTTTCCAGCAACTGTCTGGGTCCTCAGTTCTTGGAACACTCTTGGTCAAAAAATAACCAGACACCCCAAAGTAAGGCAAGTGTGAAACAAAGTTTATTAAGAAAGGGAAAAATAGGTTTCCAGAGTAACAGCAAGATATGGGCTTACAGAGCAAGATACATTCGCCTTAGAGAGTGAATGGGGTCCAAGTCACAACAAGAAAAGCCATAGGTCATGGCTGCCAATTCTATTTTATAGTGTCTGGATCGGGCCTACCTCATGGTTCAGAGGTCACCTTGAAACCTGAGTCTTACTGCACATGTGGAGCTCCCATGAGCCTCTCTGAGAGCCCATTGGGGGGTATGGACCACAGATTTATACTAATGATATGATGGTCTTTTCCAAAAGGACTGTTTTTATGTATCCAGACCCCTAACCACTTCATAGCAGGAGGAGGAGTGAGAGAGGTTCCTTTCTCAGTCCAAGGGCCTCCACAATGTTGGTCTGTTGGTTCCAAACATGCAGACAGGTGGCATCACAGATTTGGTAAACTAATAATGCTTAATCTCTCTCTGCTAGAGCAAGGAAGTGAGCATCAATCTCTGCTTCTGTAAGAATCCTGAATTGAGGATTTTCAACTGTAACTACTCCAACTTCTATTTCTGAAGGTTTGAAATCAATTGACAGAACAGTAGACAGGCATGTAATCGCAGTTTCCACTATCCAAATGTCCAATCAAATTTCTTCTTCACTTTTTTTCAAGGAAGCTGGTTGACTCAGTTTGTTTAACTCCTGCTGCAATGGCTTTAAACCCACAGTAGTAACCCGCAGGATCACACTTGTACACCTCAGGGCCTTGTTCTTCATCTTTACCAATTAAAATCATACAACAACCAAGAGGCCTCATTTCAGCGTTCTGTGTGTAGACCTGAGAAATGTCAGCAATTCTCTCACATAGCATGTCCACGGGAACCTCATAGCCATACTGTATTTCCAATTAGCTGCCTCATAGTGCGCCCTCTGTACCTGGGATCTGCTGTCAGCTGTCATTCCTGTCATCACACAGCCAATGTTTTTCGTAATTAATTTTTTTTTGCATACTGATCATGAATTTACTTAAAAATTAGCAAACAATACTGTAGAAACATTCATATGGTAAATTTCTAAAAATGCTGCATCTTCTATTTAGTTGGCAAAGACCCCATTTAGCAATAAACATGGGTTTATTTAGTCTTCCATGTAGGAATCAGATAAACTGTAAAAAGAAAGTCTCCTATTGTTTGAAAATACCAGTTTTAGATTGTAAAAATGCATAGATTAACAAAAAGCTATACAAGAGTACTCCCCTACTCTGTAAAGAGTATTCTTTAACAAAAGAATTGGCTATACAAGGGTACTCCCCTTTCACAGAATTCCTTTTTACTTCATATGTGAGTTATTGGTTATGCTGTAGGATTTAACTGTTACAGCACTAGAAGGCAACTATTTAGGGAAGAAGCAGAAAAAGGAAAAAGGAATGTATGTAAGGCAATTTCTTTTGTTAAGTACAATAAGCATAATAGAGTTTTAGGAAGACAAGATAAAAATTACTCAAGGCTAGCTTGGTTCTCACTGAATAACAACAATGAACTAAATACTGGGCCCTCTGTGTGCATCTAATAATCAATGCCTTGGTCACCATATTGGTAATCTCTGGGGTAGTCATCTTGGTATTCACCATGATACTCATCTGGGTATTCTGCCTGATAATCACTATCACTGATTGCCGACCCATTTGCTCCCATTCCTTGGCTTCCATTGTGAATGACAGGTTCTGTCAGAGCAGCACAGTATTTGGGGTCATATACTTGCCGCCCAAGCCCATATACACTCATTCCTTTCTGGGAAGCAACTTTGTTGGTTCCCATCTGTGGAGAAATCATCAAGTTGTCCACGGGTTGTAAAGAGAAATTCTGGTCATAGATATCTCTTCTGGTGCCTGGTGCTAACATCCTAGCCTGGCTGGCTCCCTTGTTAGTGCCCATCTGCAGACTATTTGTGGTCTGGTCAAAAGGTTTATCAGTTTGCATTTTCAGACCATAAAGATGCCTCCTAGTCCCAGGCTGTCATACCTGCCTGGCTGCCACATTTGTTGGCTCCCATCTGCAAACCAATTACACTTTGGCCAGCTTTTAGTTTTCCTCCATCAAAACATCTTGTTTGTTTTTCTGCATACTTAACCCCAATGGCAATGGTTGCATGGAATCCTTTTGTTTTAGCCAGGCCTGCGAGAGCCACCAGAGTGGTCTGAACCTGAGTCATCTTTCCATTCTCAAAAAGGTCCTTTGCTTCAAATATGTCATGTGGCTTCATCCTGTAAGCCTGAATGGCTTTGATAAAGTTGCCAATATTCTCCAACTGAGGTCAGTTGACCTTCACACGGAGCCTGGCTGCAGAGAATAATGCCGTCCTTCAGACCCAGCTGGAAGTTGGTCCCCATTCTCATACCCGTCACCTCCTCTATCCAATTGCAAAGATCTTCAGCCTGATGATCATACTTGGAAGCAATCTTGTTCTTGACCTCGACCGAGAGCCATAGGAAGGGCCCTTGTTGAAGCGGGTCATGGTGGTCTTGGCGGCAGGAAGAGGCT